AGAGGCTGAGGGACCTGAATCTCTTCAGTCTCCGCAAGAGGAGACTGAGGGGGATCTTGTGGCTGCCTACAACCTTATCAGGGGCCACCAGCAGGGACTCGGGGAAAGTCTGTTCACCAGGGTCCCCCTTGGGGTCACCAGGAACAATGGCCACAAGCTGAGGGAGGAGAGGTTTAGGTTAGATATTAGGAAGAACTGCTTCACGGTAAGGGTGGCCAGACCCTGGAATAGGCTCCCCAGAGAGGTGATGCTCTCACCTTCCCTGGACATCTTCAAGAAGAGACTGGATAGGCACCTGGCTGGGGTCTTATGACCCCTGCCACTCCCAGTGCTCCTTCCTGCCCATGGCAGGGGGGGTTGGACTCTATGATCTGTCTAGGTCCCTCCCAACTCATTGATTCTATGATTCTATGATACTGCACAGTCAGCATCTCATGTAGATGTGGCCACAGGTAGCAAGAAAAAGATCTTTACTCTTAGAAAAGTGGAGTAAACTGCCCAGGGAAGTTGTGTAATCCAAGATTTTCCTGCATCCAAGATTTTCAAGAAGAGGAGGTTAAATCGATGATTTAAAAGTAGCTGTGCCTGGAGTGTACTGTGAAGAACAACACTTGGAAGCCCAGGAGATCTCTGTATTACAAAGGGTAAGGAAAGAGAAGGAGAACAGAAGGGACGCTACTGGGAGAGGCAAGGTAGGTATGAGAGAGGAAAAACTAAGCCATTCACCCATTGAGCGACACAGGTTTTATAAAAGCTAATGCAAGTAATGGGAGAAGAATCCATAGTCTCAGTTCATACCATATTTAACACAGTCCAGTCTGTAGATGATATCTTGTTCTCCATTTTCCCATTCAAATCAGTTTTTAAAGGTGGGCTGCCTGAGAACAGCCACTTTGAGGTCAGTGATGGAATGACTGTGCAGGGAGGATGAAGTGTCCTGCTCCAGGCTTTTGTATTTTTCTGGGACTGATGTCAGATTGGAGTTCATTCATTCTCACACGTAGGGATAGCCCTGTCTGTCCAATGCAGACAACAGAGGGGCTCTGCAAGCAGGTGATGGCATATATTATGTTGGGAGAAGTGCAGGTAAATGAACATTAGATTATTCCATGTTATTTGATCCAGTGATGATGCAGTCTATGTTGATGAGGGGCACAGCTGGCATTAGGGTCCAGACCAACATCTGGTGGCTTGGTAACAATAAGAGTTAGGTAGTTCATTGCTGGAGAGACTCTGTTTGAGGTCAGGGTGGCTGCTTGTAAGCCAGGACAGGTTTGTCTCCTCACTTTCCAAGAGGAGTTGGAGGTAATTTTAATGATGTGTCTGAGGTTCAAGCTGGGGATGGTAGGTGACAACCAAAGTGAGCCTGCTGTCCTTGTACCATGCAGGTTGGAGAGGGGTCTGAGTCTAACTTTGTTGATTTGAATGGCTACAGTTTTAGGATGTTATTGTAATTGTAGGAATCCCTGCTCCAGACCCTTAGGTGTGTGTATTCTGGGTATAGTCTTGGCTTATAACATCTGAGGTTCATTTACCTGCACCTCTACCAACATCCTATATACCATCATTTGCTTAGTGCCCTTCTGCTGTCTATGTTGGACAGGCAGGGCTATCCCTACATGTAAGCATGAGTGAACCCCGATCTGACATCAGTTCCAGAAAGACACACAAGCCTTTAACCTCCCTAGACTGCGACCTCAGAGTGGTCGTTCTTAGGCAGCAAACTTTTAAGACTGATTTGAACAGCAAACTGCAGAACAAGAAATCATCCACAGACTGGACTGTGTTAAGTACAGCGTAAACAGGGACTATGATTCTTATCCTTTTACCTGGGTTAGCTTTTGTGACCCCTTTGTCCCTATGGGTTTATTGCTTGTTTGCCTCTCGCAGCATTGCCCCCCTCTCTTCCTCCCTTCCCTTATCTCTTGCATTCTGATGACTCTCTATTTGACAGCCTGCTCCATGCGTGTCCTTTTAAAGCATTGGATGAAATGCTCTTGGCTCAAAAATCTTGTGTGCTTCTAATACCACACATACAATCAACTAACATGCAAGTGAGGCTGGGCCACTTCCTCTTGTGCTCACCCCTGGGTGCCGGCAGAAGTCTTTCTTGTCTTTAGGGCCCCTGTCCATCTAGAGGTCTCAAGCAACTGTGGGCTGCTAGGTGTTAACAGTGACGTCCACACTCTTTTGGGGCTTACAACCTCACGTCTATACAGAAGCAGTCCAGAGAATTTAACTGCCCCGACTGTGCCACCCTCCACAACAGCAGCCAGTCCCATTTCAGTAACAGTCACAACACCAGTCAGTCACATCAGCTCCCACACACACACACCAGCCACCAAGCCATATCATAGAAGTAGGGCTAGCCTGGAAGGGACTTCAAGAGGTCATCTAGTCCAACCTGCTGCCTGAGGAAGAAAAGGTCTGGTGGCCCCAAATGGGGATTAAACTTCGGTGTTATTAGCACCATACTCTAACCAGCTGAGCTAACTAGCCACTCTAGCACAATGCTAGTTTAGTAACGACAACAACAGGGTTAGGGTTCGAATCATCAGGTTTGGGTTCGAGTCATCACATTCACATTCACTGCTGTGCACAGCCACAGTTACAAGCAAAGCAACCCCAATGACAATCCAATCATAACAGCACCTGGCTGTCACAGTCCATGCAACACATGTGAACAACACAACAGTCTCTAGCCCCAGCTCCTGCTGCTACCTACAGTGTTGCCTTGTCCACAATGGGCTGCACTTTCCACGGCTGCCCCAGGGAGAGTGAGACGTAATCACTCACGCCAGCCATACCAGTCCCTCACCAGAGAACAGTAGGTGAGCAGGAGAGGCAAAGTGCATACTCCCTTTCACTAAGGATACCTTAGGGGCACACTACAGACACGCTAAGAGCATGTCACATCCCATCCCCTCCTTTCAGGTCAGTGGCAGGCACCGCTGCTTTCGGTCCAATCTTTTCCGCATAAGCTTCTGCAGTACTTTCCAGATCCAGAGGCCTTTGCAAGCTGCCGATGGTCCCATCATCCCCAGACCATGCTCAGGGGCAGAGAAGCCTGGGGACCCACATAGTTGAGTCCTCACCCCACCCCCCCACAAGACAGACAGAGAAGCAGCATGCCAGGAAAGGATGCTCAGGGTGGCATACTGTAACCCACTAGACCCAAAGTCCCAGCTGAGAGCTGGGATACAGCATATAAGTCCCTACCAGTGTAAGGCTGTACATTATAAGGCAGCCCTTGCACTTTATTCTCCAGCAGCAACAGCCCTGGTCAGTCCTTTAGAAGGAAGCAGGCTCCTTGTCTGCTGCATCAAGACATGGCAGGAAACTACCAAGAGCTGCCAGGCTCCCTACAGAGACAATCCTCTGGGCCCTGGGGACCTTGCATTTCTCCAGTTTAAGACCTTGCTAAAGAAAGAACTAATCATAGCATTTTCTAAATTAAAGTATATGTGGTTGGGGGTGGGGGGGAAACCACAACGCCTTTCTGACTTTGGAAAATGATCTTTGAAAATGAATATCTTCCACTTGAAAAAGTACATGCATGAGGTTTTGGAGGCTCAGCCCATCTCTAGAATTTACTATTTGAAATCTTCCCCTCACAAAATTTCTCTTAGAAATGAACATTTTAGAATGGATTCATTACAAATTCTACTTTAGAAAGAACTTATTTGAAATGATGCCTGAAAGATGAATTTCCTCATAATGTCGTGTAACTGCCACGGTCTTTGTGCTGTGCTTTCTTGTGCAGTTGGCAGTGTTCAGCCTGTTATAGAGGTCCATGAGATACACCAAGGGGCAGAATCACAAGACTGGTCCCAAAAACTCATGAAATTCTCAGAAAAATCCTGGGGGTCTGAAACATCCTGAACATGGAGTGCTTTTTCATAGGTTAGGAACATAGGAAAGTAGGGGGGAATGAACCTCACAAGGTCATGGAGTTGAGCCTCTTGCTCAAGGTAGGATCGTTCTAGCTAAACCATCCCAGCCCCTGAAAATTTCCAAGAGACAGAGATTCCACAACGTCTCTAGGTATTTTGTTCTGATGCTTGACCACCCTCATAGTCAGAAAGCTCCTCATTACCATGAACCCCAATTTCCCCTGCTGCAAATTGAGGCTATTGCTCCTAGTTCTGTCCCCTGTGGCTACAGGGAAAAGCCTATCACCATCTTCTCCATAATCACCCTTCAGGTATTTGAAGACTGTTATCAAATCCCCCCTCAGTTTTCTCTTTTCCAGGACAAGATCAGGGGACAGCAGGGCAGGCCCTATGAGGAGAGGCTACGGGACCTGAACCTGTTCAGCCTCCAAAAGAGAAGGCATAGGGGGGATCTTGTGGCCTGTTATAAACTAGTCAGGGGGGATCAGCAGGCATTGGGGGAGTCACTGTTCCCCTGAGCACCACCAGGAGTGACCAGGAACAACGGTCACAAGCTGGCAAAGGGGAGATTTCGGCTAGACATCAGGAGTGGCTATTTCACGGTCAGGGCGGCTAGGGTCTGGAACCAACTTCCAAGAGAGGTGGTGCAGGCTCCCACCCTGGAGGTTTTTAAGAGGAGGTTAGATGAACACCTTGCTGGGGTCGTTTGACCCCAGTACTCTTTCCTGCCATGGCAGGGGGTTGGACTAAATGATCTGCTCAGGTCCCTTCCGACCCTAGAAACTATGATAAATAACTCCCATTCTTTCAGCCTGTCCTCAGAAGTGTTGCCTTCCAGCCCCCTAACCATTTTTGTTGCTTTGCATTGGACTCTGTCCAATCTGTCCAGATCATTCTTGAAGCTGAACTGAACACAGTACTCCAGGGGAAGCCTCACCAGTGCTGAATTGAGCGGAAGAGTTGCAAGCGACAGTCCTGTTAATACAAACCAGTATGCTGTTGGCCTTTTTTGCAACAAGAGCGCACTGTTGGCTTGTGCAGATTCTGAGATTCTGTGAATTCAACAGATTTTGTTGATTCCACGGATTCTACGATTTTTATGGCCAGAAGGTCCATGTATGAGATTGTCTGGTCTGACTGACTGTATTGCGCAGGCTGTAGTATTTCAACCAGTTACCCCCATCTTCATCTCAGTTCCTGTAGAGCAGATCACCCTGAAAGGTCTCCAGGCTGCATTTGAATACGTTGCTGCCCTTGTGAGTGTGTTCCAGTGGGTTAATCATCTTAAATATCTGGGCCTTATTCCTCATACAAACATGTCTGGCTTTAGCTTCCAGCCACTTGTTCTTGTTCTGTCTTTCTCCACTAGGCTAAAGAGCCCTTCTGTATGAGAAAATTTCTTCTTAAGAATGTATTTAGGCACTGTTATAAAGTCTTCTGGGGTTGATTAATGCAGGCATCACGGCTTCAAGTTTCCCATTGCAAATGCTAGCCTTAGAAATGTGTTTGTGGAAGCTTTGATTCTCAGGATATCACCTGCTTCCAAGACTTCAGGGTTCAGTAAAATCAATAACTATCATAGTTTTCAAGGTAAAATCATAGGAGCTGGCAATACTGCAAGAAAGTTGTCCAAATGTGTCCATTTGCTCCTGTCTGAATTTTTAAGGAGCTCAGGGGAAAGAAGACATTTTGTCTCTGCTGGAGGGACTGAGACTTGCTTTGTGTATCCCCTATGTCCCCCTGCTCTGTATGTGTGTGCGCTCTGACCCTTGCCTCCACCCTTCCTGCTGGAGAGAATGAGGTTTGCTCTGTGTGCGTGTGAGCATGAGCACACGCGCATGTGTGCTCATGCTTGTGTGTGTGCGTGTGTGTGCTTGTGCATGTGTGTGTGCCCATGCGTATGTGTGTGTGCCCATGCGTGTGTGCATGTCACTGATGTACCTTGTTGCAAGGACTAAATGCTGTCCAATGTATTTTGATTATTTTGCTGTCTGGATATTGGCTGGCTCAGGAGGGTTTGGGATATTTTACCCGTGGCAGGTTAGAGTGTTACACCTTGTGTTGTGTCAGGGTTGAGTGTACAGTTTTGCTAACGGCAATGAATTTGTATGGGATGGTTTGGTTAGGGGTGGTCCTGCCTCAGGCAGGGGGTTGGTCTAGATGACCTATGGCAGTCCCTTCCAGCCCATTCTATGAATGGGATATAGAGCCATTTTGTTTTAAAGGGCCCTGTCTCTGACCTGGCCCTGTGCAGGCATTTCAGTTGGATCAAGGAATGAGGAATGGAGCAAGGAGACCTCTTGGGAGTGCTGGCTCTAGTCCACCCTCTGGGAAAGGGGACTGGCTGGGATGCCAGGAGGGGAATGGAGGACAAGATCTTTCTAGTCTTGGTAGCACTGACTGTGATCCAGCCCATGCTGCTGGTCTTGGGACGTTTAAGAAGTGGGGAATGAGGCATCAAGTATTTCCCCTTGAGAGGGCTGGGGGGCAGGGGAGGGGAGGGAGGGGATGATAACTCTGATCTAGCTCCAGAGCAGGGACTGCTTGGTTCAGACGGTGAGAACAGAAAACCAGAGCTTTTCCTGACAGAGGGCAATAGTTGGGTCATTTCCTTACAGGTGGCAGTGGTGAATGCATCATAAGCCAGTAATTATCATACTTCATTTACTTGGCCATAATGGGGAACAAGTTTCTGGGTTCTCAGTGCAACAGATGATCTTATGAGAGAGAAGTCCACCACTGATGGCACCAACCAGCTTTGTGGCTGGCAGTCTTAGCAGAGGAACCAAACAGTGAACAGACAATGGTGATGGACTGCAGCTACTTTAACCACTAAAACCCCTCTGCTGCCCTCCCAGGGCTGTGGATAGTTCCTAGGACTCTTGGCTCACAGCACTTTCCCTGTGCACTAGCATACTACACCCCACTATACCCACATACTTCCCTAGGGATAGAATTCAGAAATCCTAACTCCCAGACTCCCCCCTCCCCACCCTCTTGTTCATACAAGTTGACCTCCCTCGATTCCCAGAACCATGCACAGAGCCCAGGACTCCTGGCTCCCAGTCCTCTCCCACTCCATGCTGTAATTTTGGAGATAGTCTGAATAGTGTTTCCTTTAGCAAAGGCCTCTGAGTGCAGAGATGCAAGTCCTCTGAGGACTGTCTCCATAGGGAGTCTAGCATTTGTTTAAAGTTTCTGCTTTGTTTTGATGCTTTGGAGAAAAAGCCTGATTCCTTCTGAACCACTGGTCGTGGCTATAATTGCCAGACAGTAAGGGCCTTTGTACATGCCACAAAATTACCGTTTCAATTTAGGGAGAACTAAACCAAATTAAACCCCCGTGGCATGTACAAGCTCCCTTAAGGTTAGACCTTACTTCAAACTTACTTTTTTATTCTGAGCTCAAGACACCCAGGTTCTGCATCCAGCTCTGGAAAAGCCAGAGAGGCCAATAAGTTAGAAGAGAAGGAACGGGAAGCCCCCAGATTAGGTAGAGAAATGGGGTCTAGTTGGTTAGAATATGTGGGAGCAGAGCTAGAAGCTGGAAGTCCTGGGTTTTAGGCCCAACTCTGGGTAGTGACTGGGGTTGAGGGGGTTAGAGCAGGAGGGGCTGGGATTCTGGGTTTTACTCCTAGCTCTGGGAAGAAACTAGTGGTCAAGAGGGAGTGAAGAGGGACTGGATGCATGGGCTACTGGGTTCTCTTCTTACCTCCACATATCTTTTAGCTGCTTATCCTGAGCAGATCCCTTACCCAACCTCAAGCTCCTTTTTTTTTTTCTGCTGGTGGGGTTCAGCAAATCTCCCCTTGTCCCTAAACCTAGGACCATTGGTGTGCTAGGAAGTTCTCTGACACTGATGCCTGGTGAATGGCCATAAGAGGGAGAAAACTGGTTATGATCAGAGATACCAGCTGGCTTGGGGTGAGCTGTGATGGGGTCTTGGGGTGTCCCTGTTACAGTAAAAGGAAGGTTTGCTCTTCAGAACAACAGGGGATGATGCCCCTCTTACTTGCTGTTCTCTGGTGGGTGATGCCACAGCTGGTGTGAGTGATGATGAGGTTTAATTTCCCACTGTGGTGGTTATGGAGGAATGATTTTGTGGCTATCATGACATGACGGTGGGTAGGGGTCAGGGTGTGAAACTAGTCATTGTGTCTGTTGTTGTGATTGTGACCAGTGCTGTGGCTGTCACTGGGTTTTTATGATGTAATAGCAGATTGGCTGTCAACAATGACGGGGGTGGGGGAATGGACCCCTGCGACCGGTGTCTGGATATGGCCCCGCTCCCACCCCATAATCAGAGGGAGGAAAAAAAAAGTGTGTGTGGTGGGGAGGAGCTGAGCATGCATGTGTGTGTCCTTGCGCCTCCCTTGCAGGTGGGAAAGTCTGCAGGGGGAGGGGAAAGGGTGGCAGGGGGGAGTGGGGCTGGGACTGGGCTTGGGTTGGGAGGGAGCGTAGCAGAGCCAGTCCTGGGCTCAAGGTTGGGGCCTGCTGCACCCGTGTGACCGCCCCTTCCCTCACACCCAGGGTTGTTGCCTACGTGCTTCGCTGCCACCTTTGAAAGCAGGACAGTGCCATGTGCATCCCGCTGCTGGGCAGGCTGGGCAGCGAGGCACATGGTGCTGTACCATGTTGCTTTCAAAGACAGCAGCAAGGCACTCAGATAGGGAGCAGGCAGAGCCTAGCCTGCAGCTGCAGCCTGTCCTTGCCCTGTGCACAGGTTGGGGAGGCCACGTGCCCCCTCTTGGCTCCTTGGCGCTGCACTGGGCTCTTCCTGGGGATACCCGGGGCAGGGTGGGCATAGGGGTCCCAGGGGCTCCATCCCCTCTAGCCCTGTGGTGCAGCTGAAGCTGGCCCCATTCCAGCCTCCAGCCCTGGGACCCCCCACGTGGTGTGGGCCCTGGGTTGGGGCCAGTCTGTGGAGGCAGCTGGGGCCAGTGTGTGACTGGGGGGTGGCAGTTTTGTAGGGCCTGCCAGTGCCAGGCAATGACTCCAGGCATGGGGGAGGAGGGGTGGCCACACAGGTGCAGCGGGCCCCGGCCCCAAGCCCAAACCCGGTCCCAATCCCGGTCTTGGTCCCGGTTCTGCTCCACTCCATCCCAATCCCTGCCCAATCCCAGCCCCACTCCCCCTGCCCCAGCCCTTTCCTCTTACCCTACAGACTTTACTGCCTGGGAGGGGCAAGGGGGCATGCACTCATGCTCAGTCTCCCCCCCCCC